TCACTTTTTCACCCGGCCACAATTCATTTTTTTCAGATTTCCAAGTTACTTTTTCTTACTTCAAAGTCACTTTTCCGAACGCTTGGAATCACTTTTTCGGGACCCGGATTTTCCAAATCACTTTTGAAAGTCACTTTGACCTTCACTTTATTTTCATAAAATACTTATTTACAAGTTTCCAATGCCAGGCTGCCGGGGGACCTCCCAAGTTTAGGGTCTTGTTTTGAAGAGTTCCTAGGTTGTTCATCGTTTTCCGGGTTGGGGTCTTTGGGTGTTCTTTCAATAGTTTCCTAGGGTTTTACATATGTTCATAAGGGTTTAGGGGATTTAGGGCTCACCCGAATCCAAAGGCCGTTTTGCGGTTTCGAAATTAGCAGAGCCTTGAAAGCAAGTGCTAACGCATCGCGGAGGAATATGAGCCAGGGTCAACAACTTCGATTTCGCGGCTATGCGCTTGATTTGCCCACTGCAAGCCCTAAGCCCTAAACCCTAACCTAGGGTATATAAACTATACTATACTATACGAACTATATAGGAACCAAAACAACAGGCCTTTCTAAAACCGCCCAAACCCTAAGCGATAAACCTTCAGCGTTTTAGGTCGGCTGCAGGTTCCTTTGACTGCAGGTTTCTTTGAAGTGTTTACTGCAAGGATGTTCAACATCAGGGTTTTCGGGTTCATGCTTCTCCCCTAAACCCAGAACCCAAAACCCAAAACCTTAATGAACCCAAAGATCTAAACCCAAAACCCTAAACCCTGGGTTTTAGGTGTTGGGCTCCCAGATACTTCCGAAAGTCGTTTTGGCATCTCCAAGTTGAGGGCCACAACCCCAAAACCGTTATCATCAACACCCCGTATACCGATATGGGCAGTTCTCTAAATTAGGGTCCCTTTTGGGGTACCCTAAATAATAGGTGCCGTATTATGATAAGGAATCAAAAAGGGACCATAATTTTGACAACCACCCATATGGGTAGTTCTCTAAATTAGGGTCCCTTTTGGGGGTCCTTTTTATGAGGGTGCCGTACTATATTGGGGATCCAAGCAGGGACCCTAATTTAGAGAACTACCCAGATCCTGAAACGGCTGCAGGGATCCGTTCAAGAACCCTTGAACAGAAGGATCCCTGCAATGATTATTCAGGCTTCAAGGCCCTTGTCTCTTTACGTTCTACCAATGAAGGGAGCGAGTATGCGGAGGTAGGTGGGGGTTTAGGGTTTAGGGCTTAGTGCTAAACCCATAAACCACCCAAGCCTACATGACAGACTACTTTCAGGACTGGGGGCATTCATCTTAGGTCCTAAGCCCAATATGGAATACGAGCCGCAGGTTGTCTTAGGGTGCGGCCCTTAAGGCAGGAGAATGATCTAGGACATTTTCAGGTGGGTAGTTACCGTTATAGGGCCTTATAGAAGGTCTGTATACCTTATGGAAGCCTTGTAGAAGCCCTATATACCTTATGGAAGCCTTATAGAAGCCTTATATACCCTAAACTCCCCACCTGTAGTTTCCTTTAAAATGAGGACGTGTTTGAACAGCTGTTGTTGATGGGTCGCCTCGCTATCCAGAGTTCTCCAACACTACACGGCGTAGAGCTCGGGGTTTAGGAATATATAGGAACACCACATGCATAGCTTCTTTGATGTTTATGCACTAGCGTTTTCTGAAAGCAGAAGGAACCCTAACCCTAAACCGATGCCTTTAAATGAGCCCTTACAGCAACACTTTCCGTGGGTACAAGAACTCGCATGTGCGGAGCAATCTTCGGAGCAATCTGATCGAAGGTTGACCCTCGCCTGACTTGGCCTGTACAGGGAGCCATGAAGTGGCGCAAAAGATGACATCCCTAAACCCGAAACCCTAATCCCTAAACCCAAAGAGTGCAGGAGGAAGCGTACTCTTGCAGCAGGATGATAATGTCAACGACATAGTTCTCTAAATTCCCAATTAGTGCCTTGTGTTCGCGTGATGTTTTGTGCCTCTGATTTAAGGGACGCCGGAAGATCCGACTGGGTTTGTGTGATTTGCATCGAAAACCTTTACAAACATTTCCTGGTCCAACCTTTTCTTGAAGCCGAATGTAAGATGGTCACAAAACCTGTAAAGCCTCATAAGGCCCTCATGAAACCTTAGCAAGCCTTAAACCCTAAACCCTAAACCCAGTTGCGATCTCCACTTTAAAGTCCCGCATGGACGCATTTCTATTCCTCTTTTATCAGACAGAGACTTGTGACGGAGGAAAAGGTACTGGGGACCTGGCGCGGGATTCAGGGGTTCCTTCTGGAGTTTAGGATTCCGGGACGGCTTCAGGGCTTTTCGGAAGTTCTTAGACTGGAGCTTACAGTTTTTTTGTTTTCAGGGTTAGGGCTTAAGAGGATCAAGGGTCTGGGTGTAGGTGCTAGTATGGGGTGGTGTTCGTGTCCCCGTTCAGGATTTAAAGGTTAAGGGTTTCTGGGATTTTTTTTGGTCTGCGGTTGTAGACTTTAGGATCTGCAATTTTGGAACGAAAGACCCAAACCTGTGATCCTCGGCTTCCTTGACTGATAACCCCCTTACCTGTTCGGGGAAGCAGTCATTTTGCAGAGGTACGCCTCACACATGCTCCGCATAGACATACATACCATACACTTGCCTCACACCCCCTTCTGCCAAATCTGCCTCGCATTGCGATGCAGTCTTTGCCTTTGTGTTCCCGTGTATCATGTCATACCGGATAAATCTATGTTCCAGTAGGCACACCAACTGCTGTCCAGACTGGCTTTTTGTAATATTTCGTCAGTGCCATTATACTTGAGAACCGAGACACGTCACCAAAAACCTTCCAAATGGAACGGAGGCTGAAGGGCAATGATATAACACAGTATTGTCGCATACCATACTTTAAGATTCTAGATTTTACTACATCATAATGCACTGGAGAGTATCTAATCTAAGGGTGCTGTGTCTCGAGTCAAGCTGCTCGAGACCTGAAGCCTTGAACTCGTGATTGATCAACCCGCACCCCAGATCCGCATCCGTTGAACTTCTGTATTGCGGTGTGGAGGCCTAGATAAACGCCGAACCCTAAACCCTAAACCCTAAACCCGACTGACGGTTCCCTAGTTACATTCACAGACTCCATTATTACACTCGAGACCCCACACCGACTAGCCCAAGCCCTAAACTCGTTAAACCGTAAACACGATGAGCGTACTGTAGTGAGCCATGGGGCTCCCAGACCCTCAAACCCTAAAAACCCTAAACCCTAAACCCTAAACCCTAAAAACCCTAAACCCTAAACCCTAAACCCTAAACCCTAAACAAGCCCGCAGCCCTACAGCTTAAGCTGTCAACCCAAGACCCATGACTCGACCCCAAACCCCAAACCCAAGACCCAAAATGACACCCAAAACCCTCAACCCCTAAACCCCTAAACCCAAAACCCGAAACCCAAAACCCGAAACCCAAAACCCAAAACCCAAAACCTAAACCTGAAACCTAACACCCCAAACCCAAAACCTTAACCCGTGAGCTCCCCAAGTGCCAGGGAGCTCCCACAATTGGGTTCTGGATATCTTGGGCATCCATGAGCGGACCCATCGACCGGGGCCCAGGTTTTCGGTTTAAGTTTTAGGCTTTAGGGTTTAGGGTTTTAGGGCTTACTATAGAAGGCAGCCTACATATGATTACCAATATTATTCCTTCGGGTTCCTTATTACAGCTATACTTTGAAGGAACCCCCAAACCCTATTCTAATGAGGCCCCTACAGTATAGGGTTCAGTGTTTGGGTTTGGGGTTCAGGTGGTGCTTGCATGGCAGACATGGGTTTGTTTAGACTAGCTATTGTTCCGGAACATCTGTAGGTGTTGCTGGAGGGCTTGTAGACGGGGTGGCAGGGTTTCATAAGGTGCTGTAGGGTTTTGTTGCAGGTTGGACAGGGTGGTATGATGGGTTTGATACGTTGGTTCTTCAAATCACGGCCCGCTACACCGAGGCTGCAGCAGGGTCCGTTGTTTGCCGAAACTACCATGTTGCAGGTTTCTGGGTGGTCTGAATGTTCAGGGGATTTCAGAATCCGGGCTCCGTTTTGCAGTCTAGGCGTTTCGGGTGTAGGATTTAGTAATTCTTCCATGCTGTAGATGTTTATTGTTCAGTTTTACGGTTTATCCTTCCTGGTTTGGGTGTGGAGGGGTGGGTGCCGGTGGAGGAGGAGGGGCGAGGGGGGGGTGGGGGTGGGAGGTCGAGTGGTGAGGGGTGGAGGGAGGGGTGGAGGTCGACGGAAGGGTGGAGGGGTGGATTGGCGGCCCGGGCCCGAAGCCAACGGAGGTAGTATAAAATATTTAAAACATCTGTTAAAACAGCCCGCAAGTTGAATATAGTCACCGTGCAGAGGGTTTAGGGTAGGGTTTAGGGTTTAGAGTTTAGGGTTTAGGGTTTAGTTTGTCCACGATACGGTTCAAGCGGTACTGGACCTACGAGGACCACATCACCCGAGCAGCCAGCCGATATCCAGTGCAGTCGTGGACAGCCACCGAACTCGTGGACGCTGCAGTACCCTAAACCCTAAACGCTTAACCCTAAACCCTAAACCCTAAACCGTTAAGGTTTCGGCCACAGGGGGATATTTCTTCACACCGCATCTTAGAAGCGAACGGTGCGCAATCAACCACGGTTTAGGGTTTAGGGTTTACTCGTAGGTGCATTATAGTAGAGGCACACCACACCAACCCCGCACGAACTATGTTACCTTTACCCCCGCTGAACTCTATGCCTCAAGCCCTGAGGCCTTAAGTAAGCCCAGCAGAGGAAACTCGGCACAGCAAGGCTACCCTAAGCCCTAAACCCTAACCCCCAAACCCTGGCAATAGTTAGCAGCACTGAGAAGCGCGACTGTGGTGTCGAACCCTGATTCCTCAAGCCTCGTTGCAGTGTAGGGTTCGGGTTTAGGTTTAGGGTTTAGGGGGTCAGAAAGGTTAAATTTCCAAACATTTGCCTTGGCGTGATATTGCTGCTAGCTAGTCATTTACTACGATTACTGCCATCCTTAGCACTACAAACCCTAAAGCATCCCTCCAGACTCGGAGAACTCTCTGTTGATTATGTCAGGTCGCTCTCTGCTGGCCCTAGCGGAAGCAGTCCTACCGGCCAAGATTCAATCTCAGATGGTGTTTTGGGTCTTGTCTGTGTGTTTAGGGTTTAGGACATTAGGGTTTAGGGTTTGAGGGTTTAGGGTTTAGGGTTCAGGGTTTAGGGTTTAGGGTTTGGGGTTTAGGGTATGGGAAGAGCTCGAACCTGGAACACTTCTTGGGCTGTCACGGCTTCTGGGGCGAACCCTAAACCCTAAACCCTAAACCCTAAACCCTAAACCCTAAACCCTAAACCATATTCCCGGCCCGAAATGGTGAGGCTTGAGGGCTTCGGGGTTTGGGACTTAGGGGCTCGAGGATTCAAGGTCTAACGGTCTAACGAAGGGGTCTGAAGAATTAGGGTTTAGGGTTTAGGGTTTGCAGCATCACAAAACCCACCCTAAACCCTAAACCCTAAACCCTAAACCCTAAACCCTAAACCCTAAACCCTAAACCCTAAATCCTAATCTCTCAGTCTTTCTGGATTTCGGGCAGGCTTTGGGGGCCAAGTATCGTCGGCTGCGGCCTCAAGCCCCAGCCCTAAACCATGAACCTCAAGCCCTAATCTGAATCCTAAACCATAAGCCCTAATTATTAGAGCTGTAATCCCCTGATGAGGCCATAAGATCCGTATGACACCCTTGCTTTCGCCGAACTTACATAAAAGCTTTTGAACCCCAAACCATACCTCTTAGGGAGCGCCGCACAGCCCTCAGAAGAGACCGCCCTGAAGACCCCATAATCATACCATAGCATGCCTAGACCCACTCTTTCGGGTTTTGGGGTTTTAGGGTTTAGGGCTTCTAGGGTTCAGGGTTGAGGGTCTTGCCTTGCAGAGAACGACTCCCCAAGCCCCGAAACACCACTAAACCCTAAACCCTAAACCCTAAACCCTAAACCCTAAACCCTAAACCCTAAACCCTAAACCCTAAACCCTAAACCCTAAACCCTAAACCCTAAACCATCATCTCAACAACTTGCCAGTTGTTGGTGCCGCGATCCGACGTGCTGGGGACCGCCTTGCAGGGGTTTCCCGAACCCATTCAAAGGATCCCAAAAATAAACAGGGTGTAGGGTCTGGGGTTTAGGGTTTGGGGTTTGGGGTTTAGGGTTTAGGGTTTAGGGGTTTAGGGTTTAGGTTTCGGGACTTAGCTGGGACACTAGGGCTTCCACTTAGTGGGGTTTCGCTAGGTTTCGTACTGTAGGGTTTAGGGTTTAAGGGTCTGGGGTTTAGGGTTTAGGGTCAAAAGCGTACACGTTTTGAAGGCTTCTAAGTGCCGTGATGATGAATCTAAGTAACTACCGAGAATATTCCTCTGGGTTCCTTATTAAGCTCAGTATCTGTATAATATAGGGGCCTTAATGATTACCTATACTATTTTGGGGGTTCCTTATTATGATTATAGTATAATGGGCGCACAAACCCTATTCTAATTATTAAGGCCCCTACAGTAATTATGGCAATGGACTGTAAAGCCTTATTCGAATCGTGAAGGCTCAGTGGCCTTGCATTAAGCCAGGTCTTTGGGGGAGCTTTTGGGCTCAGAGATTCAGAGGGCTTTTCATGCTGTTTCATAGGATTATGAGCTTAGGGCTTTCCTGTGTTCACCCAAGCATAAGCACCCATGGATTTAGATGGATTTAGGGTTGGGCTTGGGATATAGGCTTTAGGGTTTAGAGGCTAAGTTTTGCGTTCAGATCTCACAATTTATGGTACCTTGCACGGGGGAGTCCAGCAAGCCTTGATCCTGCTATGTAGTCGTCAAGGGTTCGGGTTTAGGAAGTGTAGGGTTTAGGGTATATGGCTTGAGTGCGCTCAAGCATGTTGTTTGGGTTAGTTCAAACTGTCTTCGGGTGTGGGGTTGAGGTTCGGGAGCTGTTTTATTGCCCCCAACCCCGAGCCCGAAACCCTAAACCCTAAAGCCCGAAAGACCCACCTAAGGAGCCTTCATTAGAGCCGAAAGCTTCCAACCCTAAACCGTATAAGCCCTGAATCCCCGAAACACCCAGGGGCGGTTTCGTGGACTTCAGGCTTTGAAGTGGAGGGTTCTCTGGGTTTGATTCGCCCATGGATTCAGACTGGCCAGGGTTAGCGCAAGGGTGATGAGAGGGGCTTTGTACGGGTCTCCAAGGGCTGTAGTAGGGGTGTCGCGAGGTGTTATAATGCAGCCGAGGGAAAACGAAAGTCGACTGGCACCACAGGAGCACGATAGACTATCCGGAAGCGAAGGGAAAACCATAGAAGAGTTTGACCCGGAAGAGCCGTCGGAAGGATACAGCGCGGAGCAGTGGGCTGCGTACCATAACCTCTCTGCGGAGGCGGCCTACACCATCGCGTTGGCGGAATGGCACCGAAGTCAAGCGGATGCGACCGCCGCGCTGCCAGAACTGCCGCCCCAAAGCGTTTGGCGAGCCAGGTGCTTCCCAGCTGAATATCCGCCCTAAGCCCTAAACCCTAAACCCTAAAGCTGAATACCCGATGTTCATGGCAAAAGGAGGTCTAGGGTCTGTTCCTTTGGCGCGAGCACCACGTGCTCGATCCCGCCAGAGCTGGACCGTTTGCAAGGTGATCATTCGGATTGGGTTTAGGTCCAGTTTAGGGTTCAGGGTTTAGGGTTTAGGGCCGAATTTCGACGCGAAGGGTTTCAAGATTGCCGCAGTCATGGAATTATGATAAGATTTAGTCAGAGTAATATGAATATGCTCACTTCATAAGTATAAGAACGACTATATGACTATGACAGTACTTATCAGAGCAATAGCACTAAATATGTTCAGAAACCCTGAACTCTAAACCCTAAACCCTAAACCCTAAGAAGAAGCGTTATGCTTATGAAACAGGGGGCAGCTCACGAAGGCCATCAGTGAGGAAGAGCATCGCTTCAGTTGTCACCATGGGGTTCGTGTTCACTAACTGCTACTATCGGTATTCTTTCTAGGCTTAGGAGTTTAGGGTTCAGGGTTTAGGGTATTCCTGTTTTTGTTGTTACATACTATTGCTGTTGACTTTCTCTGAAGTTGCCACCATGGGTTTGTCGATTCTAAAGCAATGTCGACAGCAATCCTGTTTATTTGTGCCGCCGGGATCTGTTTTCGGTGAGTCTTTACTCAGGGGTGTACAAGGTCTCATAGTGGTTTTGTTTAGTGTTTAGGGTTTTGTGAAGCGCTTCGCAAACATATAGGGGGCTCATGCTGCATCCAGCTTGTCCTGCAGGACCAGCGAGAAGTGCATGAAGAGCTTTGTAGCATCTGTACACAACAAGTACGAGGACCGAGACTCTTGTATGCTGGGGTTTTAAAAAACCCTAAACCCTAAACCCTAAGCCCATTCTGAAGGCATCTCGGTTTGCCAGCTTGC